AGCCTGCACATCCGGAGCCTGTGCTCCACAACAGGAGAGGCCACAACAGGGAGAGGCCCGCGTATCACAAAAAAAAAAAAAAAAAAAAAGTGGGAGAGAAGGGACTTCCCTGGTGGTCCAGTGGTTAGAACTCTGTGCTCCCAATGCAGGGGGCCTGGATTCCATCTCTGGTCAGGGAACTAGATATTGCATGCATGCCGCAACTAAGAGCCCGCATGCCTCAACTAAAAAGATCCCGCATGTCACAACTAAGACCCAGTGCAGCTAAATAGATAGATAGATAAATATTTATAAATACATTAGAATTAGCACTGTCATTAAAGAAAAAAAGTTTCATTTACCAAAGAAAGCCCTGGTAAATACTCATACTAAATCTAGTTAAGTTTTTGCGTGCTATTTTCAAGCAGTCTCTTAAAAAAAGAAAAAAGTGGGACTGGGGGGGATGGTTTAAAAAGGTCTTTCAGAATAGATGACTGGACATCCAGTTCTGCAGTAAATCCAAATGTTATCAATCTTTGGACTTGAAAGTCCTTGATACACCCTTTCTTTTCATCATCTCTATTCAGGCTTGTCAATTTTTCTTCCAGAATCTCCCATTTGCCCTTTCCTTTTCTTTCTGACTGTCCTCACTTCTTGCCTGGATTTGCTCATTCATTCATCATTTACCAAGTGCTTATTATCTGCCACGCACAGAGCTAGACCCTTGTCCTTGAGCTTAGGAAGCTCACGTGATACTCAGTAGAGCTGCAATCTACCCATCTCAGTCACCAGACTACAAGCTTTACCAAAGGCTTTGTATTTCCAGAACCAGCAGCAACTGGCATAGGGCAGACACTCTAAAAATGTTTGTTGTATGACACTAGATTACTTTAGCAAGCTATTTTTTAAATCCATAAATATTTTAGTGCATATCTTCAAAAAGGACTCTTACTTTTCTTCCCTTTTTAAAATACAAAAGCTATATGTGCACAATGCAAAAATAGTATTGAAAGGTATGGAGTGAAAGTGAATTCTCCAACCTCCTAAATCCCACTCCCAGAAATGACTACTATTACAATCTGGAATGTATCTTTCCAGAACTTTCCTATGCTGGTATATAACACACACACACACACACACACACACACACACACACACACTCTTACACTTTTTTGGAACAAGTTCTCTGACAGTTTCTGACTCTAGCTTCTCAACTTTATTTTATTTTATTTTTTTAAATAAATATATTTATTTATTTATTTTTGGCTCTGTTGGGTCTTTGTTGCTACGCACGGGCTTTCTCTAGTTGTGGCGAGCGGGGGCTACTCTTCATTTCGGTGTGTGGGCTTCTCATTGTCTTGGCTTCTCTTGTTGCAGAGCACGGGCCCTAGGCACGCGGGCTTCAGTAGTTGTGGCACGCGGGCTCAGTAGTTGTGGCTCACGGGCTCTAGAGCGCAGGCTCAGCAGTTGTGACACACAGGCTTAGTTGCTCCGCGGCACGTGGGATCTTCCCGAACCAGGGCTCGAACCCATGTCCCCTGCATTGGCAGGCGGATTCTTAACCACTGCGCCACCAGGGAAGTCCCGCTTCTCAACTTTCTAATCCAGCTCAAGTTCTCAAAGTGCTGTCCCTGGATCAGAAGCATCGGCATCATCTGGGAACTTGTTAGCAATACAAATTCTCAGGCCCCACTCCAGGCCTATTGAATCAGAATCTCTGGAGGTGGGGACCCCACAATCTGTGTTTTAATTAACTCTCCAGGTAATTCAGATGCACACTAACGGTTGAGAACCACTCCTCTAACAGTCAAGCCACCTTGGTCAAGCTGGGTTTTTTTTTTGGCTGCCTTGGGTCTTCGTGTGCGGGCTTTCTCTAGTTGTGGTGAGTGGGGGCTACTCTTCATTGTGGTGCGCAGGCTTCTTATTGCGGTGGCTCCTCTTGTTGCAGAGCATGGGCTCTAGGCACATGGGCTTCAGTGGCTGTGGCTCGCGGGCTCAGTAGTTGTGGCTCACAGGCTCTAGAGCGCAAGCTCAGTAGCTGTGGCACATGGGCTTAGTTGCTCCGCAGCATGCGGGATCTTCCCGGACCAGGGCTCGAACCCGTGTCCCCTGCATTGGCAGGCGGATTCTTAACCACTGTGCCACCAGGGAAGCCCCAAGCCGGTTTTTTATTTTTATTGTCCCTTAAACATTATATTGTCAGGCATTGTAACCTTGTTTTGGTTTTACCACCCTATTTCAAAATGCATTTCTTGTCCTTTTGATTAATTCTGATCATACCAATCTGTTAAAGCCCAGAAAGTAGTCGATCCTCCCCAAAGTGCTCTCAGTACCACAGCTCTTACTGATCCCTCTTGCTCCTCCCCCTCCTATGACATACCTAGTTCCTCTACCATACAATTTCACAGTTAGGTACGACTTTTCCACTTGATGCCACTTGATGCCAATGATAGAGAAAAGTTCTTTACTCTTCCCTTGAAGACATGAATCATATTTTTGTCACCTCTTCCTCACCCCTGTTCTAAGCACAAATTTTAATAAAGTTGCCGGTCTTTAAGGATAAATTCACCGAGAGAAATACTGATAAACTTTTGATGGATAAAAAGTCTACATTCAAGTTGTAGCACCACTTCTGCGACCTTGGACAAGCTCACTTCTCAGGATGAAGTCTGTAAAAGCAAGACAGCTGGACTCAATGACCTAACACTTCCTTTCAGCCTTGAGCGACGTATGACTTTATGAAACGTCTCACATTGGAATATCTTATCCCATTATACTTGAGTATACCATTATACTCATATCGCTTTGCTAGTGAGCTCTTTGAACAAGAACTATGAGACTCTTCCACCATACCCAGCACCATGCCTTATGCATAACAGCTCAATCTATTTGCAGAAGATTATTTGGAAAAATTATTTTAGAAGTTTCATTTATGTAGAGAACCTATGTACTTTGGCAGACCTACTGCCTCCCAAAGGGCCCTTTCAAATATTTATTGTTATAAATACTATGAAATGATTTATGGTAAAAATTGTGATTACTCTGATAACACTGGGGCAGTCAGCCACGTAAGGCGAAAGAATGTAAAAATGAATCTTACATGTATTTAGGAATAGACTAAAAAGCTATAAGCCTCAGGCTACCTTAGTGCAACATGTAAATAAAAACAGTCTTGTACACTTAGGTGACATATACCAACTCCACTCTTGGGCATAAACAGGCTTCTTGACATAGGACCTTTTTCTGCAAATTTTCAGACACAGCAGGGTGGACTAGAGACCTCTGAGTGGCCAGTGATGACCAGAAGTTGAAACTAAAGAGAAGGACAGCTAAGAGAAATTGAAGGGCAAGAAGGAGGAACAGAAGGGCAGGAAAACATCACCTTTAAGTAATGAAAAGGAGCAACGGAAATTCACTGAGTCTTTACCAAGGGCCTACTATGAGCCAGTCACTTGGGGCTGCAAAGATGGCCCCTGACCTCAAGGGGCTAACAGTCCAAAGGGTAAGACTGAAGCTTCTACCCTATCTACCTACCTACCTACCTACACACACACATATATACATATGTATGTGTGTGTAATTCTAATTGGGAAAATGAAGCAAGGAAGGCTTCACAGAAAAGGTGGTAAGTTAATGGAGTTTTGAAGTGTGTAGGAGGGTTTGCTAAGGAAGAAAAAAAAAAGTTTGAGCTAGTTGTTTTGGGGAAGAAACATTCGCATATTTTTACAGCCATTCCTTTGGGACTTTAAATCGGCGAGGCTTCTTAGATGCAACACTACCTTGTCAATGCTCTCCTTCTCTTTTTACTTCATCTTAAGTGAGATGTTCAAGCCCAGCACTGGAATAGAGCCAGAAAGCCCCAGGATAAGGGGAATGCTCGCCAGATTCGCTCTGTCACCTCCAAATTCAACCAGCCCAGCTATCCCAGTCTTGCACTCCTGGCAGCCAGAAAAGGAAGGCTAATAATATCCTCTGGGGACAAAATCTGGACTCAGGCAGACAAGGCTTACCCCTGCTCTGCCAGTAAGCCACCTTGAGAGCGTCCCTGCCTCCTAAGCCTAGTTTATCTGTGACAGGGAGGCCAGCTCTGCAGAAAAAAAGCTGCATGAAAAGGAAGGAGGACGCATCCGATGGCGAAGCGCTGAGATACTGAGATAACCTTAAAATGTTTGGCAGGAGCCCTGGCACACAGCAAGCGTTGGATGAACGCGAGCCCTTAATTAATAACATTACTATTACCATTATTACAGTAACACCTCAATTGTACTCCAACAACAAGAAAATGCTGTTTTTGCAGCCTACTTTTATGACGTCGAAGAAGCAACTCCAGAGATGAAAGTGCATTTCAGGTTTTTTTTAAAGGGACAAGATCGAATTCCAACCGCACTAGCCTGACAGCCCCAGACCCTGAATTCAAGAGCCATTCCTGCCTCTCGTCTGGCGCGTGACCTTGGGCAGGGCACTTCACCGCTCTGTGCCTCAGTTTCCTCATCTGTAACGTGGGGCTAAGAAGCCCCTCCCTCGCATGGTCGTCGCCGGGTCCAGCCAGAGGGTACTCTTTGCGGCACCGGCACCCCACGGGTGCAAGGCGAGCGCCCGGCCCATTTTCCAGGCCCCCCGCCGGGCGGACGGGGCAGACGAATGCCCGACCCCGAGGCCCACCGAGCTCCGCCGCCTGCAGAGCAGGAGCGGGAAAGGGGGTCGCGCCTGCGATGGGTCCCTGAGGCTGAGCTGTTGGGCACCCAGAGGCTCGGCCGCTGCCGCCTGCACGCTGTCGCTGGCGGGTTCGCCCTGGGCCCCGCCGCCGAGGTGGGGAGCGGCCGAGGGAGGCCGGGCTGCCCCCGGGTCCCCAGGAGAGGAGGGCGGAGGGCGCCCGGACACCTAGACGAGGCTGGCAGCGCTGACCCGGTGCCCGGCCGCACTGGGGTGATGAGGCGGGGAAGGAGAAGGCAAGAGGAGGGACGACCCCGCATGCAGTATGGCGCGCCCCCCGCCAGCCGGGCTGAGGCGCTCACACTCACCCGAAGCTCCGGCACCCGCCGTCAGCACAGCAGCCTCGGCGGCGGGAGTGGGGCGGGGGGGTGGGGGGTGGGGAGGAGGCTCTGCGCCCGCGCAGGCGCGCTGAGGACGCCAGGCGGCGCATATGCGCTGTGCCCGCCCGCCCGGGGACCTACGGAGAAGATGGTGGCTGAGCTGGCGCCATTTTCCGTGTACAGTAGTTTGCCTGATTTTTGTGGTTTCAGTTCCGCTTGGCCGACTCCGGTCTGAAACTACCGAATGGAAAATAAGTAAATAGTTCGTACGTTTTTAATTGCTGTGCTGTCCGGAGCAGTGTGTCGAAATCTCTTGTCCTGCTCCCTCCCCGGGGGAAGTGAATCATTCCTTTGTCCAGCATATCCACGCTGTATATGCTACCTGCCCCCTTAATCATTTAGTGACGGTCTCTCATCAGATGGATTGTCTGCATATGGCAGTGTTTGTGTTCAAGAAACCCTTACTTTACTTAATAATGGCCCCAAAGTGCAAGAATAGTATGGCTAGTGATGTGGATAAGCGAAAGAGAAGCTGTGAGGGGCTTCCTTTAGGTGAACAGGTGAAAGTTCTCAATAAGGAAAAAAAACAAAAAAACGGTATGCTGAGGTTGCTAAGATCTACAGCAAGAATGAATTTTCTGTGAAACTGCAGGAAAAAAATCTGTGCCATCTTTGCTGTCACACCTCAAACTGCAAAAGTTAGGGCCACAGTGCATAAAAAGTGCTTGAGAGTGAAAAGGCGTTAAATTTGTGGAAGACACGAACAAAATACATATTCTGTTGACAACAACGTGTTGCCCCAGAAAGCACTGAGCCTATTGTCAAAGCCAAGTTCATGTGTCTGACACCCAGTGAGGCCAAACCAACCAAAACGTTGGAGTTCGGAGCAAAGATCCATTGCAGGTCGAAGCGAGGAACAATGGACTGGTGCTCAAAAAACCCAAACTCTTTCAAGGAAGAAATTTTAAAGGCAACATTTGGGGTGAGGGCTGCAGGGTGCATAACTTTCTTCTGATTGGTTGGTGGTGAGGTAACAGGGTGATGTTTCAGGAATCTTAATCATGGACTTTCTGGTTCCAACCAGTCTGGGATCTAGTGCTTGTGGTCAGCATGCAGTCACCATCCTCCACCTGGGCCTAGGAGACCAAAGCCTCTTTCCACAGACAAGAAACGGGGACATGGAGGGGCTTTTGTACCCAGGAGGGCCCCACTAGGTCCTGCTCAGTTTCAAGCCTATATAAAGACTTCAGCAAGGGCTCCTCTGAAGGGAGTGACACCAAGCCATTTACTGCAAATAAGGGATCGTTACACAGACTCAGGAGTATTTTGGACAGAAAAATTGCCGGAGAGACTGAGTCTGCCAGTGAAGAAGTGATACTGAGCAGGACCCTGTGGGGTCCTGGGCACAAGAGCCTTTCTGTGTCCCCTATTTCTTTTCTTTTTTTCTTTTTTTGGCCACACTGCTCGGCTTGCAGGGATCTTAGTTCCCCAACCAGGGATTGAACCCTGGCTCTGGCAGTGAAAGCACGGAGTCCTAACCACTGGACGGCCAGGGAATTCCCCCACCCACTCACGCCATGTCTTGGTTACAGGAAATAGGCTTCTTTCGGCCTCCAGGACCTTCCTGAGTTGCAAAAGCAGATTCAAACAGTTGCTAATTAGGGAAGGGATGGGATGCTGAGACAAGGTAGGGACAGTCAAAACCAACAATAATGCAGCCTTGGGGCAGGGTCCTGTTTCCCACTCAAGGGATATATGTGACAATATCTTGTTATCTGCTATCTTGCAGATACTGAAACCCCCGTCAGGTGGGAGAAATCAACTGTATGCTGCCCACAAGCACGCAGATCCCAGACTGATTGGAACCAGAAGGTTGATGATGCTGACTCCCACTTACCTCACCACCAACTACTTAGAAGATTGTCCAGGAGCTGATCACGCCCTCCTTGAACCATTACTATAAAACTTCTCACTACCCCCTCCAGGTTGAGATACACAGTTTTGAGGGCATTAGCCCACTGTGGCCCTTTGCCTGGAAAAGCAATAAAGCTATTTTCTACTTCACCCAAAACTCTGTCTCTGAGAAGTAATTTGGTGTCAGGGTACGGAGGCTGGATTCAGCTTCAGAAGCTGTTGCCACATTTCCAGCAGAGTTGAAGAATTTGATTGAAGAGAAAGGATACCATCCAAAGCAAGTCTTCATGTGACGAAACTGGGCTTTTCTGGAAGAAGGTGCCCAATAGAACCAAAAACCATCTGGGAGTTCTGTTTTTTTTTTTTTTTTTTAAAGTATGAGCCACCCATTCTCCTTGCTTGGCCCTTGCAATAAAACTTTCTCTGCTCCAAACTCAGACGTTTGGGTTTGTTTGGCCTTATTGTGTGTCAGGCACACAAACTTGCATTCGGCAACAAACCTACCTTCATAGAAGTGCAAAGGAGGCACCAGCTCATAAAACATGGAAGAACAGATTAACTCTGTTACTATTGGCAATGCTGCAGGGCAGATGTTAAAGGGAGGGGTTGTGTACAGAATGAAGCATCCACAATCTCTCAGAAACAAAACCAGGAATTATCTGCCCATATTCTGACAACATAATGAGGTGAAAGTTATCTTGTTTATGAAATGGCTCCACCAATGCTTCTTCCCAGAAGTGAAAAACATTTGGAAAAGGAAGGGTTGGAATTTAAAATCCTATTACTAATAGACAATGCACCTGGCCATCCTGAATCTGCTATGAAATTGAAAATATCAAAGTTGTATTTTTACCTCAAATATAACCTCATTGCTTCAGCCACTTGACAAGGCGTCACTTGGTTTGTCAAGGCCATGTACACCTGCCTGATATTTGATCACATTTAGTCAGCAATGAACACAGACTTTCATCTGGACATAAAGCAGTGCTGGAAATCATTCGCTATTGCCAACGCAATACATTCATCAAAGCTGCTGTGAAGGAATTAAAACCAGAAACTGTAAATGCCTGCTGGTAGAACTTATGAAGTCGTGAATGATTTTAAAGTTTACTGAGGCTCGATGGAGAAGTTAGGAAACTCATTCACGTAGCAAGACAAGTTGGTGGAGGAGAATTTGCCAACACGCTTGATGAAGAAGTGGAAGAACATACTGAAGGCCACCGAGAAGTGTTAACAAGCGAGTTATTGGAAGAACTTGTGGAGTCATCTACAGAGGAAGAGGAAGGTGAAGAACCTGAAGCAGAATCAGCGATGTGGACATTACTGAAACTTGCCAAAGTGTTTCGAATTTCACAATCAATTTCAAAATTATGGAATATGATCCTCAGATGAAAAGAAGCACTGTAGCCATTCATGATCACCAAAGGGTTACAAACTCTGCAGCAACACTGTGATGAGTTAAAGAGACAGCAACTCCAATTACAATGTTCTTCCAAAAGCTTTCAGCAAAAAACCCTTCAACTATCTATCGTGGATCCCCAACCATCAACGTCATCTGCTCCTGACGTCCAACCATTGACATCATCATGGCTTGATGATCCTCCTTCTGACGTCTGGTCAGGTCAATAGTAGCCTAATGCTATGTCACTTCGTCACATAGGGATTGTACCATCTCATATCATCTGTGAGAAGGGTGAGTACAAGACAATACAACATTTTGAGAGTGAGATCACATTCACTTAAATTTTATTACAGGGGACTTCCCTGGCAGTCCAGTGGTTAAGAATCCACACTTTCAATGCAGGGGGTACAGGTTCGATCCCTGGTTGGGGAACTAGGATCCCACATGCCGCGTGGTGCAGTCAAAAATTTTTTTGAATTAAAAAAAAAATTTTATTACAGTATATTGTTATGATGGTTCTGTTTTGTTATTGTTGCCGTTAATCTCTTAATGTGCCTAATTTATAAATTAACTTTATTGTAGGTGTGTATATATAGGAAAAAACTTAGCACATATCGGGTTTGGTACTACCTGCAGTTTCAGGCATCCACTGGGGTCCTGGAACGTATCCCCCTTGGTTAAGGGGGGAGTACTGTAGTTTTCTTGCTGTGGAGTCTCCCTGGAGAACCTTAAACTAGAACTGCTCAGAGGGAGGGGAGTTGAGTGCTGTGTCTGGCTGGCTTCTCCCGTTCTGCCGAGTTGCATCCTTAGGAAGCCCCTAAGAGCTCTTCACAGCAGCAGGCCCCAACCTTTTAGGTACCAGGGACTGGTTTCATTGAAGACAATTTTTTCCATGGACGGTGCGGGGCTGGGGGGTGAGGATGGTTCAGGCGGTACTGGTCCACAGCCTGTGGGTTAGGGACCCCTGCTTTACAAGGCACAGCATCCTCCTTTGACGTGGGCCCTGAGAGGTACCCAAGGTGACATGGCACCTAGCACAGGGTTTGGCATGAGGAAAGGGCTTAGTAAGTTTTTGGTGAATGAACCAGTAACTTAAGAACTAGATATAGGACAGGGAACTCTACGCAATACTCTGTAATGACCTATATAGGAAAAGAATCTAAAAAAGTGGATATATGTATATGTATAACTGATTCACTGTGCCGTACAGCAGAAACTAACACAACACTGTAAATCAGCTCTACTCCAGTAAAAGTTAAAAAAACAACTAGAGTCCAAGACAGGGCTCCTAATCCCTAGTCCTCCACTGTTATCACCTCTACTACAGCCACCAGCCACACCATCTCCTTTTCAGAGTGCAACATGAGAAATGGAATTTTTTTCCCCCAGAATGATTACATTAAGCTTAATTACACCCAAATTTTAAAAACACCAAAATGTACAGGACATACTCCCTTCCTTGAGAGCTTATAATTTGATCTATTATTTCTTTAGTGTTAAGTATCACTGACTAAAAGCAAGATATCCTCTTAACTAAAGTAGGGCAACCGGAAGAATATTACCAAACATCTGAAGGGCTGCAACTGTCTATAGTATTCATCAAGTGCAATTCCTGAACCCAATTTGGGGAGAGGGAAAACTAATACTGAGCACAGCCTTTTATTATGATTTCTGTTTATTTGTTAACATTTACTGAGTGCCACATGGGGTCTAGTTGACCCTCCACTCCTATATATATGTTCTTGGTTAGATTATTAAGCCCCTCCATGCCTGAGTTCCTCATCTATATTGACAGAAATAGAAGTTATCTCATAAAGTTGTGGTCTGTATGTGTATAGAATACTCAGAGCTTATTAAATATTCTTTTTCTGTGCTCTGTCTTGCATAGCTGTTGAAGACACAAAAACATACTTCCTATCCTTGGGCTTAAACAAATTCTTATCAACAAAAGATGTAATACAATGCAGTAGATAAAATGGGGCTGGGGAGGCACAATCACCTTTGGAGAGAGGTGATCTCTCCCCATTTCACAGAAAGGAAATTGAGGATAAGCATGAAGATTCACTCCAAATTCTACACTCTTCCCACTATACCGTTCTGCTTCTGAGAGTAGGCAATTAACACCACTCCTCTGATCCTTAAAAGCTTCCCTCGGGTCTGTCCAGTTTCCCTTCTTGCTCTACTCTGGACAATATTATCTACTCTTAAGGCTTTAATAACTGGGTATCAGTAACTTCCAAATTTTATTTCTAGTCCAGGTTTTCCTACCCAGTTTTCCACCTGTATATCCAACAGTTCTAGTTGACATGTTTGGCATCCCAAACTGAACTGCAAGCTTTCCCATCTCATTATCTGCTCTATTACCCACCCCCTCCATCATATTCATACCACTTTTCTAAACTTACATTATTTAATCTAACCCTTATGGCATCCCTGTGATATAGATTCTATCATTCCCCCAATCTTACAAATAAGAGGTTAATTAACTTTTTCTCGGTCAGTTAATACGTGGCAGTTAGGCGTTTGTAACACGTAGGTGACATGCCTGCTATGTTCCAGACACTGTGGACAACTCCCCACACTCATCCATTGCCAACTCCCAGCACAGGTTGTCATTCCCCACCTGATGACTACAATGGCCCAACTGGTCTCTCACACCCACACATACTTGCTTCTATCTGTTCTCCAAACAGCAACTGGAGTGATTTTTTTTGGCTGCTGCCGTGTGGCATGCAAAATCTTAATTCCCTGACCAGGGACTGAACCCACGCCCCCTGCAGTGGAAGTGCAGAGTCTTAACCACTGGACCACCAGGGAAGTCCCTGATCTTTTAAAAATAAAGCTCTGACCCTTTCTCTCTCTCTCTCAAAACCTTCCAATGACTTTCGATTATCTTTGTCTCACGTGGCTTACACTTTTCTCTCTCCCCTCAGACCTTTGTAAATGCTGCTCCTTTTACCTCAAATAACTGCCCTATTTAACTCCTTTCTCCTTCCCAAGTTAACTAAAACATCGCTTCTGTGGAAAAGGGCTCTCTTCTTGTTCCGTGTCTTCTTGTTCCTTTGTCCCCACTAGACTGTGAGCATCATGAAAGGAGGTCCCAGGTCTGTTTTTGTTCTTTGCTCTCTTCCCAGTTCCTGCAACTGTGTGTGGCATACAGCAGGGGCTCTGCAAATCTATGAAAGAATAAGGAATGTAGGTCAAAGCAAGGCGATATCACCTCTCACTAACTGGTGCTTAGGCGAAGGCTTAAGACTTAGGATAATGACTGGGTATTTAAGTGAAATGGATTTTGTTCTAATAGGAGGATCAGAGAATAAGAGACACTAACAATAAATTAGTTGGTGTTTTACTGGTAGTTAATGCTGAGGCGTATCTCCACACTACTGTTCACTTCCAGATCCTGGCAAAGAATCCTATTTTCTGCTGAGCCTTCCCTGCCTTTTCATTTTTTTATACACTCAAAATATACACAGAGACAAGGGAAAGCTTTTAAGTATGCACAATCTTATACTGCAGATTATTAACAAATATGGAGAACGATGAAAAGAGGTACTTAACCCCTTCTTGCCATGAATCCAGGATTTAGGATGTCGACTCAATATTAAAAGCTAAAGCACACTACAGACATCAGGATATAGAGAATGAGTGGAACCTCCTTCAAGCTGGACATGTTGTGATGTGATTTATGTATCCACACGATGCTAACAATGCTCACAACTCCTCTACCTAAGATCACCTTCGAAGCCACACTGGGCATCAGTCTCATTCCCTTTACAACCAGAACGACCCCTAAAATGTTTGTTGGATTCGGCCCTGAATGACTTCGTGTTGTTTCAAAACCTGAAAAACATCTTCACAAGAGGAAGGTTTCTGATCACAATGGACGTTTAAAAGAATGGGCCACTAATTCTGAAGGTCATTCCAAAGCAGAAGTCTCAAGCATTTTGCACATTCTTGGAAAATGTTTCTATATGACATTCTTTCAGATGCATAAATTCCATCACTTTAAGAAAAAAATCGAAGTGCTTTATTTATAGTCAGCCAGTTATCTTCAAAGGCAACAGGGCAGATGTTACAGCTTAGCCCGTTGTGCAGTTGCCGTGCACTGGGGCACTCTTCCTGTTTCTCTCCTCTGGAGCATCCTGTGGCAGAAAAGCTGCATAAGGTCACTGACAAGATTTAGAGCAACGTGTGCTAGGTTGCTTCCGTAGCTGAAGCTTGAGCAGTTTTCGAGCTGGTGAAGGATCTAATTGTTGCGTGCTTCTCTTCCCTGCAGAGAAAAGGAGCCACAAAATAAACTTCAATTGAATTCAAATACCATTTATTGAAAACTTACTGTGTGGACACTGTGCCAGACACACAGAAGGGCATTCCAACAACAAATGAGAGCATGTGCCCTCTACGAGATGGCAGTCTGGTAGGAAAGCCAGCTGCAACTACAACCACAATACCATCCAATGAATAATGAAATGAAGGTATGTATAGCACATAATTTAGGGCTGGAGGTGGTCAGGAAAAGTGACGGATAAGTAATGTCAGTGTCACTTAGTGGATTCTTGAAGAATGAAAAGGGAAAAAAGGAATGGGTATTTCGTAAGTCTTGGATTTACCCAAACAACACAGTTTGTGGAGATTTAATTCTCAGTCTCCTGTGCTTCTGTGGAATTTACATCTACAAATTTCCCATCAAATTTGAGTACCCACAATGTAATAGTTATTGTGAGGGGAAAAGAAACCCTACCAGATATAGGCCTTACCCTCTGAAACCATATGTTTTGAAGGGCAGTGTGTATCCGAAGGGCTATGAGACATAACACAGTACAAGCTCTGGTCCCCTTAAGACAGGCTTACCGAGCTGTACTGACACCTTCTGGAGGCACTGGGTACTTTCCTCCATAAAGGCGTGCAGCTGCTTCATGGATCCTTGCAGTTCGTCCATCTGCAGACAAAAGACAGCTGTCAGTTGTAAGGGTCCAGGCGTCTCTGAGGCTCCTCAAACATGTCAGGCGAGCTCCTGCTCAGCTTTACTTTTGCTGTTCTTTCAACCTGGAATGCTTATGCCAGACTTCCCCACTCCACTCTTCTCCACACTGCTCCATGCCCCAGCAGGCTGACCTGCACAACCTCCAACAAGATCCCATGTCCTCTGGTTTCTGGGTGGGCTTGGCCAAGAGGGAGCCAAGTGCGAGGGAGCTGAATGAGGTCAGGGTATTTTACACAGGCCTGCTTCCAGAAGGGTCATCTCGAGTTAGCTGTGTCTCTCAACTGAACGTCATGGCTCTCTCAGAGCATCCCACTCACTATATGACTCCCTGCCAGGTGCCACAGTAACTGTTCCTCCCTCCAGCCGACAGGTAATAGCTCAGCTGCCTCTAAGCCCCAGATTACTTTTGGTTTCCTGAAACCCACACTTTTGTACTTAGCCCCTCTGTAAACAGACTCTCCTTGAATTATCCTATATCAAATGCCATGTGCTTCCTGTTAATACTTGGGTTGATACACTACTATTCTCCAAAATGTCATGGATCATTCCTCATTTCTTTTAAGTCTTATTAAAGTAGAACCTTAGCAGGACCTTCAACCCCTCTATATAGCAACCTACAGCCCTCCTTCCACCTGATTTATTAACACTTATCACCATTTATTCGTTTCTTTTCTTCCATTGTCTCTCCATGTTTCCCCAAGGTAGAGCTGAATATACTCTTATCTCATCTAATTACGCATATTCTCCACGTCTTTTAATTTCCAAGGATGACAAGGTAGCAGAGCTGGATAACTCAACAAAAGAAACATGACCCAACTTACCACCAACTCCATACAATCAAAGACTTTATTCTGGTTCTGTAATATTTTCTGGTAGTCAGGCTTTGTATTAAGGACTTCACTCTGTGAAGACCCAAGATATGCTGTAGGTTCCACTTCAACTTCAGTATTTTTGGTTTCAGTTGATCCTCTAAACACAAAACAAAAGAGCTTTCAAATAATTTTACAATCATTTTCTGGGGAAAACAGATAAGATTACCTAGGGAAAAAACCTCCTAGAAGGCTTTATTAACCTGAATCAATATTCTTACACCCTGTACTGAAAGTACAGGCTCTCTAACTAACAGGAGATTCTGAGATCATTATCCAATATTAATATTTTTATACCTCTGGACTCCAGGAAATGCTAGAAGGTTAGCTGACTCCACCTAACAGTTAAGGTCCATTTACAAAAAGGACTACACTTGGGGTAAAGCCAAAGCCTGCTATCCTGAAGTCAACGTCTATAATCTTTTACCAAAGAGATGCTGGCCCACTTCAATTATCTAAAGTAACTGAATATAGGGAATTCCCTCGAGGTCCAGTGGTTAGGACTCCGAGCTTTCATGGCCGAGGGTGTGGGTTTGATCCCTGGCTGGGGAACTAAGATCTTGCAAGCTGCACGGTGTGTGGCCAAAAAACCCCAACCACAAACTGAATATAATGGACAGTTCATGAAAACTGATAATGACTCTTTAGTAACAGCTACTACAATTCACTGAGCGCTTACTGGGTGCCAGACACAGCTAAGCACTTTCCATTTAACCTTATTTAACCCTCATAATAACCCAATGAGGTATGAACTAATATTATCCCCATTTTCAAATGAGGCGCTTCAGATTGCCCAAGGTCACAGAAGTGAGGAGTAGTTAGGATTTGAATAGAGACAGTCTGCTTCCAGAAGCATTCCTCTTAACTATTAAGCTATGCCCCATCAAAAGTTTTTATTCTGAAACTGCCATCTTATACATTATCTATCTTCATAAATAGAACATTTAAAGGGTGAAGAAAGTAGCTAATAACCATCAATGCTTAGATTGGGGGCGTTTCTCAAACTGTGTTCCTCAAAGCACGTCTCTAAGAGGCCACTTCTGCAATTACTATTTTGGCTAATGTTTTATAGTTACATTTCTAGCGAAGATTCTGTTTGGGAAAAAAAGCTTAAAATCACTGGTTTGGATGGTAAAATGAAATCAAAATCTAGCACTTACCCATTTTCTTATGCCTTCAAGACCCAGACAAAGATCCTCTCTCTCCTACACCTCATCTTCCATTACCCATTTCATGCCTGTATCTCCATGAAGGCCCTGGCCAGGGTTCTCTCGCATACCTGCAGCTCAAAGGCCATGTGCTCACTGAAGTCCCTTGATACTGTTCTTGGCCCAGCCCCAGGTTGCCAGGTACAGGCCAGAAATGTGCCTGTCTCCCCCAGGATGTGGAATGGCAGCCAAGGACACGGAACAGAGGCAATTCTGTTCTTTGACTGAAAATAGTGACAACTCTTCCTTCCCTTCCCCCTCACTCTCCATTTACAAAGTGCTACTATACACGTTACAGAGATCTGATGAGTTGATTGGCCTCTAAGAATGGATTCATCGTTCTATTTGTGCTAAGAGAACTGAAATCAATTCAAATCAAATTCCACAAGGTAAAAGCTTCCTATTTCCTGTCACAGATCTAACCTGGATATGATCTCTTCAGCCTCCTCCTGGTAGCGCAGCAAGAGCTGATCCCAACTCTGACGTTCTAAAGAAAACCTATAGGAACAGAAAATAATTCAGTTAATTTTTGATCATCTCACTCTGAATCACTCAGGGCAACAATAAGTGTATTAGGTGTCTACTCTGGTTCTAAGATATGAATAAAAACGTCAAAAAAGGATGAGAAAGCATGACCAATTCAGAGGCTATTAATTTAATCAAATCAAACATGAGTTCTTAATAGCAAATCCACATCTTTAGTCTCTAGACTTCATTCTATGAAACTGGCCATTAGTACAGCCCATAAAATCCCAGTGTGCAGCTGTCTAACTTCCAGTGGGGATACACTAGTATTGACACACTGAACAGGATGTTTACTATTCCTTTTTCCCAGGTTTAGTTATTTTCCCCAGATGGATTTAGATTTTCCAACAAAGGTTCACTCATTTTCACTTACTTTGTTATATATTCCTTCATCTCAGCCACTGATGTTTCCAGAGACAAATCTGGTGCTCTTCTAGAATACAGACAGGATGATGAGATTAACACAAACCTTCCAAGAGCACTTGCTATGGACACCTTACATAATTTTAATGGCCATAAAACATGTTCAGAATTTATCTTTCTTAAAAAAAAAAAACAAAACTTTTCTGAAGATTTAAATTTATTTATTTATTTAAAAAGTTTTCTTTAATTTATTTGTTTTTGGCTGCATTGGGTCTTCCTTGCTGCATGCACACTTTCTCTAGTAGCGCTGAGCAAGGGCTTTGTTGTGGTGTGCGGGCTTCTCATTGCGGTGGCTTCTCTTGCTGCACAGCACGGGCTCTAGGTGCATGGGCTCAGTAGTTGTGGCACACGGGCTCTAGAGCACAGGCTCAGTAGTTGTGGTGCACGGGCTTAGTTGCTCCGCGGCGTGTGGGATCTTCCTGGACCAGGGCTCGAACCCGTGTCCCCTGCATTGGCAGGCGGATTCTTTTTTTTTTTTTTTTTTTTTGCGGTACGCGGGCCTCTCACTGTTGTGGCCTCTCCCGTTGCGGAGCACAGGCTCCGGATGCGCAGGCTCAGCGGCCATGGCTCACAGGCCCAGCCACTCCGCGGCATGTGGGATCTTCCTGGACCGGGGCACGAACCCGTGTCCCCTGCATCGGCAGGAGGACTCTCAACCACTGCGCCACCAGGGAAGCCCGGGAGGAGGCGGATTCTTAACCACTGTGCCACTAGGGAAGTCCCAGAATTTATCTTTCAACAAATATTTATTCTTGGGCTCTATTTCACTTTTGCACCAGGTAACAGCTTTCTCAGTGGGTCTCTTCATCATCTATTTCTCTCACCAATTCTAATTCACACACAGCCAGATTAACCTTTCTTAAAATATTCCTTTAATTTTTTTCCTTGCTTAAAAATTCTGTGTCCCTCCACTGCATTCAGAAGAAAAGCCAAAACTCCTTAACCTGGCATTTAAGGTTCACTTAAGGTTCTGGCTCTGTCCAGCTCATTAACTTTGATTCCTATTACCCTTTATCTATTCTGTCTCATATAATGCCATTCAGCATCAAACATCTGAGGGTTTCAGGGCTTCCCTGGTGCGCAGTGGTTGGGAGTCCGCCTGCCGATGCAGGGGGCGCGGGTTCGTGCCCCGGTCCGGGAGGATCCCACGTGCCGCGGAGCGGCTGGGACCGTGAGCCATGGCCGCTGAGCCTGCGCGTCTGGAGCCTGTGCTCCGCAACGGGAGAGGCCGCGCGGTGGGAGGCCCGCGTACCACACACACAAAAAAAAATAATAAAAAAAAAATCTGAGGGTTTCAATCTCCAAAGTTTTGTTCACGCCGTTGTTTAGCCTCTTCCCTTCCCACTAATCAAAACCTTAATATCTTTTAAGAACCAACAATACTTTTCCATATAACCATCTTGTCTTCCCACTTAAACTGAAGCTACTGGTTGGATATGTTTTACTTAAACCAATGCCTCGGCTCTGTAGGGCCATTAATCCTAAAGGAAAAGCAGGAGGCATTGAAAATGCCAAAATTTTGCAGATGTACTTGGTACTCTACCTGGTAAAAGCAAATCAGTTGTGTCACCGTTCGTGTTTTCCTACCAAGGCCTGTGAGAAACAGCCTCTATCACCTCTGGCTGACATGCAGCAGCCTGTGGCTTAAATATACTGCATTAAGTTATGGGGATATAAACCTTATTGCTGTTTCATTACCACGCAGAGGCCGAATATGAGCTAAAGAATAGCATCCTATATTAATCTTCCAAAGACTGGTTATGGGCAACCCAAGCGATTGTATTATAGTTTAATTAATGGAATAAGAAGGGAATAAATAGCTTCAGTGCTGCCTGACAAATGTAATTCTCTCATGGTAAGATATGCACAGTGAAAAACAATAAAGGAGTGCTGATGGAAAAAAAATATATATATACTGTATTAAAAGAGAAGCTATGTTGAACTAAAATATTTTTCATTTCCTGAATAGTAATGTTAATTCTAAGGATCCACAGAAAGGTAGACCTTTGTGAAGTCAAAAGTGTAAGCCCAAGTTACACGATTTGTTACAGGCAGTGGGTAGAGGGGTGGGTGCTGCCCCTGAAGAGGAACGACCAGTTTGGGGGTACGACTGCAAAATTTCTCCTAATATTCTTGCTTGCCAACAGCTAAAGGACATAAATTTATCTCCAACTTGCATGGCTAGTGAAGATCTGAAGAGCACTTTTCCTCTCAGCTTTCCATGGCTGGTTCCTTCTCACCATCCAGGTCTTACAGGTCTCAGTGCAAAGGTCAAATCACTAGAGGACCTCTCTGAACACTCTAGCTAAAGGTGCCCACCCCTCAAGTCACTCTCATATTTACTGACTTCTTAGATTATCACTATCTGAAATCATTATTTTCTATGTATTTGTTTGACTGTCTCTCCTATTACAATGTATATGAAGAGAGATCTTGTTTGATTATTTACCACTATTTATCTCCAGATTCTAGAAGAGCCTGGTACATAGGAGATGATGGACGAACGTTTGTTGAGTGCATGAACAACTGTCTAATCAAAATAAAAAGTTTTATTTCTCCAGAGAAGACATACAGATGGCCAACAGGCACATGAAAAGATGCTCAACATCGCTAATTATTAGAGAAATGCAAATCAAAACTACAATGAAGTATCACCTCATACCCATCAGAATGGCCATCATTAAAAAGTCTACAGGGAGTTCCCTGGTCTCCTAGTGGTTAGGATTCCAGATTTTCACTGCCGTGGCCTGGGTTCAATCCCTGGTTGGGGAACTGAGATCTCACAAGCCGCGTGGTGAGAAAAAAAAGTCTACAAATAATAAATGCTGTGGAAAAAGGGGAACCCTCCTAACACTGTTGGTGGGAATGTAAGTTGGTACAGCTACTATGCAGAACAGTATGGAGGTTCCTTAGAAAACTAAAAATAGAATTACCATATGATCCACCAACCCCACTCTTGGGCATATGTCCAGAAAAGATGAAAACTCTAATTCAAATAGATACATGCATCCCAATGTTCATAGCAGCATTATACAATAGCCAAGACATGGAACCAACCTAAGTGTCCATCGACAAATGAATAAAGATGTGGCGTATGTGTATACACACACACACACACACACACACACACACACACACACACACAATGGAGTATTACTCAGCCATAAAAAATAATGAAATAATGCTATTTGCAGCAACATGGATAGACCCAGAGATTATCATACTAAGTAAGTCAGACAAAGAAAGACAAATTCCATATGATATCACTTATATATGGAATCTAAAATACAACACAAATGACTTATTTACAAAACATAAACAGACTCACAGACATAGAAAACAAACTTATGAGGGACTCCCCTGGTGGTCCATTGGTAAAGAATCCGCCTTACAATGCAGGGGACGTGGGTTTGATCCCTGTCAGGGAACTAAGATTCCACATGCCGCAGGGCAACTAAGCCCACGCACCACAACTACTGAGCCTGCACGCCCCGGAGCCTGTGCACCACAACTAGAGAAGAGAAAACCTGCACAACTAGAGAGAAACCCACGTGCTGCAATGAAAGATCCTGCATGCCTCAACGAAGATCCTGCGTGCTGCAACTAAGACCCAACGCAGCCAAAATTAAATAAAAATAAATAAATAATAAATGTGAAAATCTTTAAAAAAGAAAAAATAAAACAAACTTATGGTTACCAAAGGGGAAAGGGGGTGCGGAGAGATAAATTAGGAGTTTGGGATTAGCAGATACAAACTAGTGTATATAAAATAGATAAACAACAAGGTCCTACTGTATAGCACAGGGAACTACATTCAATATCCTGTAATAAACCATAATGGAAAAGAATATATGTATATGTAACTGAATCACTTTGCAGTACACCAGAAACTAATACAACATTGTAAATCAACTATACTTTAATTAAAAATTTTTTAGGGACTTCCCTGGTGGTCCAGTGGCTAAGACTCTGCAACCCCAATGAAGGGGACCCAGGTTCGATCCCTGGTCAGGGAACTAGATCCCGCATGCCGCAACGAAGATCCACACACGGCAACAAAGATCCCGCGTGCCGCAACTAAGACCCAGTGTGGCCAAATAAATAAATATTAAAAAAAATTTTTTTTAAATAAATAAATAGAAAGTCCTAATTCAATTATAATTTTGGACAGAAGGGGAATTGCTCTTACCCTTCTGAATCTTCAAAACATTTTTGTAGAGTTCCATCACTTTCCAGTCTGTCTGCAAAATGTTTCAATTCTTCAGAAAGAGAAGATGCTAGAGAGAATAGAATAAAATTTTATGTTATAAAATAAAGAGAATACAAATTTTCACAGTGAGCTGCTGACAAAGATATAACATACTTAATGTGGTCCCAGCTCTACGGTCCCCTGTTACATTCTCACCCATTTAAAAAAGTGGTATAAATATGCAGGAAGATTTTATCTTTTTTCTCTGGATAGGTATAGATAAAATGAAAGACAACTCCTCTTTATAACATTTATAATAGTGTTTTTTACACTTGACTGGTGAAAAAGCAGTTAAAAAGATGTATCTGGGGCTTCCCTGGTGGCGCAGTGGTTGAGAGTCCGCCTGCCGATGCAGGGGACACGGGTTTGTGCCCCAGTCCGGGAAGATCCCACATGTCGCGGAGCGGCTGGGCCCGTGAGCCATGGCCGCTGGGCCTGCGCGTCCGGAGCCTGTGCTCCGCAACGGGAGAGGCCACAACAGTGAGAGGCCCGTGTACCGCAAAAAAAAAAAAAAAAAAAAAAAAGATGTATCTGCATGGACATTTCATTCTTTTCAAGCGATTTGATCTGCTGGCACTGGGTGGAAGAACATTACAGAAGTCAGGCAATGGGCAAGAGTGTAATGAGAAATGTTGGAGACAAATAAAGAATTATGGGCATAAGGTAAAAACAGGTCTCTGCTTAAATTTGGAAGAGTTCACAATTAAATTCAGGTGAGGAATGCAGAGGGGAAAAGATATGTTAAAACAGCTATCAAAATAACCTGGGCAGGGGCTTCCCTGGTGGCGCAGTGGTTGAGAGTCCGCCTGCTGATGCAGGGGACACGGGTTCGTGCCCCGGTCCGGGAAGATCCCACATGCCGCGGAGCGGCTGGGCCCGTGAGCCATGGCCGCTGAGCCTGCGCGTGCAGAGCCTGTGCTCCGCAACGGGAGAGGCCACAACAGTGAGAGGCCCACGTACCGCAAAAAAAAAAAATAATAATAACCTGGGCATATCTACTCTAATTATGGTGATAGTGCAGTTCTGAGATAAATAGCTTTAACTGGCAAGTAAGTCTGAGTTCATGTATTTTCTAGGTCTTTTAAGTGGGTAACACTGAGTATTTCTGACCTGGATGATTGTGTAATGACACTGTAAGGAGAATAGCTACTTTCTGGAAAGCTGAAAACTGATTCCTGGGAAAGAATATTTGTAACTTACATCACAAACAGCTAATTTCCTTAATATATAAAGAGTTCCTACAAAATCAATACAAAAGAACCAATATCCCAATTTTTAAAAGTGAACAAAGGATATGGACAGACAATACACAGAAAATAAAGCACAAATGGCTCTCCTCTAAAAATATGAAAAAATTATTATCCTCTTCAAAAGAAAAAGCAACAGATTAAAAGTACAAAAAAATACCTTTTATCACCAATTAAACAGTAAAAAATCTAAACTTTTAGTTACAGTATAATTACACTAATTTCCAATCTAGAAATTTATCTTACTTTTACTTGAATATGTGCCAAAAGGCTTGTATAAAAAGGTATTCATTATCCATTCATTGCAACAGTAGAAGACTGAAAACAACTCTAAAAGTCCATCAGTAAAAAACTGGTTAAATCAAATATGGTACATTTATAAAATGGAGTATCATGGAGCTACTAACATGTCAAGACGGCTCTATAAGTGTGATATAGAATTATCTGCAAGATAAATTAAGTTAAAAAAAAACACAAGGTAAAGAACAGTGTAGAGTGGTTTACTCCTTTGATTTCAATGGATAAATGTTTAGAAATGCAATAAATCTTTCTGCAAGGATACACAAGAAGCTGGTGACTGCGGTTGCCTCTGGGAGGAAAGAACTGTGATTGGGGTCACGGTGGAAGAGAGGCTCACTTTCTTCACTTTTGGACCTTCTGAACTTCATAAACATATACTCTTATTTTTTTAATGCAACTCCCCAAAAAAGGAGGGGAGCTGGTTTTGTGAGGCAGCAGTTCCTGTAAATGGGGATCCTGAGAATGGGCCTTCAATTGACCTTCATAGAAGGTACAGACCAAGGTCAAAGCTCACTTGTCTAGTCTTAGTAACTTACCTTTGGCTCTAAAATTTTCAAGACTGAAGCCCTCAGTGCCCCTTAGGAAAGGTTCAAGTTTCTGAACAGAGAACTAAATAAAGAAAAGCATTTTCAGTACAACCAAGATTTCCCAGGCCAGTCCCAAGTTCATGTAATTTTATGATGTTTCATAAATGTGAGTAAACATGATTTAATTCTACACCTAAGATTTTTCATATAAACAAAACAAAATGAGAAAATCAAAAGGTAAGGGAAAAACTCTTTGTTGCCTAGACTATATGATTTGATTTTTGATTCAGGAAAAACAACGGTCATTTAATTCACACAAATGACTTGCTTATCTAAACTGATGTGATCGCCAGTCAGCCATATAACACCAACTTAGAATGCAGTCAGACCTCAAATGACTGCTTAAACTTAGATGTGACCTCCACTCACTGCAAATTCCCATCATTTGCTGCCAGTGAGCAAAATACACTAGATCGGGGAAATCTGACTGTTAAGTGCTCAGCGACAGCAGCACCGATGGGACTGGTAGAGTCTAGTCCAGAGACAGATCAGCTCCTGGGATTAAAGCTGGCTTTTAAATTAATCCCACTAGAGAGAAATATCTTTTACCCTTTACCGATAAATCACACAGTATTTAATCTCTCTTTGGGGATGTCACAGTTAACAGTTTTAAAAAAAAAAAAAAAGAAAAGAAAAGAAAAAGAAAGCATTTCCCAATCGTGAGACTCTCACCTGGAAACTGGAAAGCAGGAGACAGCCCAGCCGTTTACTTTCTGCTATGTTGACACTGATGGATCTGCAGAGCTCTAACATAAAGTATCACCGCATTGAAGGAGATGGATACTTAAGACAGTTAGCAAAGTAAAAAAAACTGAAAAATTCCCTCCCCCTTGATGCAGTCCAACTTAAGAAAACCCAAGCAGCCTTCTCTAATTAAAGGGAGAATTCATATATAGTCACATCTAATTTGTTCAAGATCACCAAAGAATGACATTTACCCATCTGTGCGACCTAACTTTGAAAAGTTATAAGAACCTTTTATGTGCTACATTAAAATCTTGTCTTGATAAACAACGTAGATTAAAAAAAAATTTAACTCCTTTTATGTTTTATATTCACCATTTGAAGAAAGGAGGTGGGATTATTGCAGTATTTCTATGACAGGCACTGCAGTGTGCTTTAAATACTGTCTTGGGACTTCCCTGGCAGTCCAGTAGCTAAAGACTCCGTGCTCCCAGTGAAGGGGGCACGGGTTTGATCCCTGGTCGGGGAAGTAAGATCCCACGTGCTGTGTGGAGCAGCCATGAATGAATGAATGAATACATACATACATACATACATACACTGTCTTAAGAATCTTCTTATAAACTATGAGCTCCATTTTACGGATGCGGAAATTGAAGCTCAGAGGGGATATAACTTGTCTGAAGCCAGAGACTGGTGGAGCCAGAATTCAACCCCAAGTCCATCACCAAAACCTGTTTTCCCACTAATACCATGCTGCCTCTCCTTAATGACCTAATGATACATTAATAGTAATTTGCTGAACACCTGCTATCTAAAAGGCATCTTATTAAACGCTATACACACCTCATTAAAACTTGAGGCAAGTATCTTATCTGGGTGAATCTTTTTTTATTTTTTTCCCCACACTGCCTGGCATGTGGGATCTTCCAAGACCAGGGATCAAACCACTGCCCCCTGCAGTGGAAGCACGAAGTCTTAACCACTGGACCGCCAGGGAAGTCCCAAGTATCTTATCAACTCCATTTGACAAAGGTTAGGTAATAGGTAACTTGCCCAAGGTCGCACAGTGAGTCAGCCAGAACTGAACGGGCATTTTACATAATTATGCCACTGAATCCTCAAACAACTAGAAGACATAGATACTGTTTTTTCGATTATGTTCATTTAAAAACATCAACTATTATACAGCAAAGGAAATTTGCTTTGAGAATTGGGAGAGATACATGTCTTTTTGCCCTCCGGCTTCAGCTGGCTGTGTTTTTAAAGTTCTTTTGTGCCCTCTCTTGATTACTTCTCCTTGCTTTTAGTCATGAAAAACTGGATGCCTTCCGCCTATAACCAAAGAAACTTGGCAAGTGGCTGGCAGTGACAAGGAGATAACAAATCTTATTATGCATCAGTAGTGTTCTGTTACACAGAACATTAGGCCACATGCTCTGGGACAGAGATGCAGGTTAGGGCAATCTTAGGAAACTGAAGCTTCTTGGCACGTCCATGGAGTAAAGTGCATGAGCCTAATTGTGGTGGCAATTTTCTGATATGCTATATGGCTGTTTTTACCCAGAATTCCTTCTAAACATGAGACCATCTGGAAGTGAGATGATGTCTTTAAAATAATCACCACAGCTTAACACTTGAACTATTTCTTTACCATGTGCCAGGTACTGTACTATATATCAACTCATTTAATTCTCACACAACCCCATAAAATAGGTATTATTTCATCCCTTTTACTGATGAGGACCGTAAGGCAAAGGAGGTTAAGGGACCTGCTCAAGGTCACACAGCTAGTAAGGTCTTCCTGAAATGTGTTACTTTCTATATTAAATCTTGTACTTCAATGCTTACTGAGATGCTATTATTATAAATTCATACAAAATTACATTCAAATACAGCATGTCTAAAAAACTAGGTTTTTACCCTAGATATTTTTATGTGTCCTTCCCTCTGAGATATTTTCAGTTATAAAGCCTAAAATCAGGTAGCGACCCATCCACCTTCTGTTCTGCTTAAGGATATGAGGCCGAAAGCCACAGGAAGAAATCTTTACTTCTAGCAAAGGCGAATGTTGAACATTCACGTAGCAGAGGTGAGTGTTGAACAACCATAAATCAGATTTTCTGTTCATGGTATAGATTACAGTGGGTAGCTAATAACATGATATAAATAGCAATGATACTGAATACTTACTAGGTGTTTGACATCAGTACTTATAATCTTAGGATACTCCTACAGATGAGGAAACTGAAGCTCAGAGAGATTTGCTCAGTCACATAGCTAGTAAGCAGCAAAGTCAAGTCTATCTGTCTCCCATACCTCACTGCCTCTTATCTGAGCTGGAACTCCATTGTCTTATGTACATGGCACCCCACCTGTGATGCCCTGATGAAAGGGAGGCAGTGACTTCCGCCGGTTCGTTTCTTTCATACTTGCTCGCCGCCAGGATTGCCTCCTGTCTTGATGACGGGCACACTGTTCTTTGGGGGACAAATAAAGGGACCTGGATTGAAGTCCTTCCTGGTGGCTGAGATCACAACTTTCCCCCTTTTTAGGGCTAGAGCCAAGGTGAATCTGTTTCTTTGAAACGCCTTCAGTCATCTCCAGGGAGGTGGACGAATTACCACACGCTTCCGCAGGGTTGGGATCTGATTCCAATTGATGATCATGAGTCTTAGATGCCACTGGTTCCTCTTCTAGCACTTGTTATAAAAAAGTCAAAATACAGAATCAAACCCATCACAACTAAGTATCTGTGCAAAAAAGTGGAAAAAGGAAATGTATGCCCCAGATCATGGAAACACTGAGGAAGCATCTTTGCAAATACGTGAGTAAGTGCTTTCAAGTCCACCAGGAGCCAGGAAAGTATTTAGGTAAAGCTCAGGAACCTGAACCCAAGAGGTACTGAATGTCACTACAGTACTCACCTTCTACAATCTCTGATCTAGAAGTCATCCTGGGTGGAGAACCCTGAAAACAGGAAAAGGAGGTGATCTGTTCTCCACATTTCAGTCCCAGTCTTGCTGGGGATTTACCACCCCAGAATCGGCCTTGTGCTTTCTAATCTCTTTGAACTGCCCCTCTTTGCCCCATGAAATTCTACCTGCCTGAGAGGGCCCAGTCCAACCCCGCCTCACCCACCTCCTCCAGAGAACATCTGCACAGCTCATCACCCCCTGTTCTCAATTTCTACAGAATTCATCTCTAGAAATACTCACCTTAACATGTAGCCCATCTTATTTCCCAATTATTTTGTGTTTAACAAGTGCCTAAGTGCATAATTCAGTTGATGGCATTATGATCTACCTGGTCTTCAAAACATGAAAAAAATCACATTATCCTTGATTAATTCTAAGATTCAAAGGCCTGTTCATTCTACTTCCAACAGTCTCTCTACAACTCTTCCCCGTCTCCGGTTATCGATTTAGTTCAGATCTCATAATTTCTACCACTCTCCCCCACCTCCCCCAAGAATCCAACAGTCTCTCCACTAGTTTTTCCTACATGCAGCATTGCTCCTCTCCAATCCATTCTTATTTATTTTATTTATTTTACTTTTGGCCACGCCGTTTGTGGGATCTTAGTTCCCCCGCCAGGGACTGAACTCCGTGACAGCGCGGAGCCCTAACCATCGGACCGCTGGGGAATTCTCTCCAATCCATTCTTTAGACAGCAGCAGAGATCACCACTTCTCTTTGACAGAGTTGGCTGCTCCGCTCCACCCCTAGGTCTCCCTAGCACTGCCTGTAAAGTCCGTTTACATGTCTGCCTCCCCGGCCAGACTGTATTTCTAGAGCCTGTTACAGACAACTAACGGTTTGGAAATGGGCAGGGACATGACTGAGGCATCTCTACATCGTCCATGCTTCCCCCACCCCCATCCCCAACAGAAATCGGTGCGTTGCGGGGTGCTTAGTAAAGAGAAATGAATATATGCGACGGGACAACATGGCAAAGATAACAGAACAACGAGGGGTAGGTCGAGGATCTGCATCGCCCCAGTAACGACTGTATCACTCAGATGAAAGCCTGGATAATAGCAGCAATCACTATCGCCCGCTAAGCGCTTATTACATGCCAGGACCTGTGTGTGTATGCAAACAATTTACTTGCATCACGATCCCGTTTAATCCTTTCCACAGCTCTGTAAGTACCATCATCAATTCCACGTTGCAGATAGAACTGAGGTTCAGAGGGGCAAAAGCCTGGCCCAAACTTGTTGTGCGGCCAGCCTGGAGCAGAGGCGAAATTCCAACCCCGGCCTGAGACCCACCCCCAGCCTTCAACCACTGTTCTGGAGTTTAGACCGCTGGCTCGGCAAACAGGCCCCGACCGAGAGGCGCAGCCCGGCCTCGGGTCTCCTCTTACCCGGAGGTGGCTGCAGCGCCCCGCTAGTCCCCGCTGTCGGGGGTGACGACGGGTTGGGTCTGGGCTGGGCCGAGGCGTCCGGCCCGAAAGAGGATGGTGCGCGGGTAAGCGGGGCCGCGTACAGGGAGAGCTCTGCGACTTCCTAACCTCAGAGCGACGCCCGTCCAGCCCAAAGCCTCCGCCCCCGAAAAACAAGGCCGCAGGCCACTCTCCGCGGCCCCAGAGACCTCCGCACGCCCTGCGCCAAAGCGTCTGCTTCTTCCTGGTCTGGGCCCGCTTGGCGATCCGCTGCCCGCGCCAGCCCCGCCTCCGGTGAAACTCCCGCCAGCCGAGGGCGCATGCGCCGCCGGCGGCTTCCACGGCTCGCGCAAGCGCACGCGCAGAACGCCGGCTTCACTCAAGGTGCATGCGCGAACTGGTGTTCAAGACTCTTGTTGCCCCGCCCGCTTTGTCCAAGTTCTTCCCAGCCCAGACTTTGCCATGTTACACCTCCTCAGCTACGCCACGCCCAGGGAGTCACTAACTGGGCCCCGTCACACCAGCGTATCCTTTGCGCCCAGTATGCCTAGAGCCTTTCTAAGATGGGGAACAGAGGTCCAGGGAGGTACTTGCCAAAGGAATACAGGGCATTAGCGGGTGGGCAGTGATGCCTGCTCCGTCGCTAGGCCATGGTCACCCCTCCTTTTATCTTCTTAACGCTGAAAATGTGGACCATGACTCTCACACTTTTTCCAGTCCTGCTCTAGCACATATTCTCCCTTTGTGGTCCCTTCTATACTTGGCAAAGTTCAAGAACTCTCCTTTGTAAACTCACTGCAGGCCAGCCCCTCCCCGAACTGCTTGCCTCTCCTCTCGTCATCCCCCATTGCTTCTACTCCTTTGCTCAAGCCATTCCCTCTGCCTGGGAAGCCCTTCAAGCCTTTTGTTCTTGGCAAAATTCTCCGATTTTAAGCCTCAGCTGAGGATTCATCTCTCTCAGAGCCTTCTCTGAGGCCCCAGTCTGAAAAGCAGATCCCCTTTCTGTACTCCCAGGAGCCCAACCTGTGCCTGGTCCACTATCCCTTGCTGGCTTGGGGGATCCCAGATAGCAGACTGCTGCTTCAGCACCCAGCATGATGCCATCAGAATGTCCCCTTGCATGTGCAGTCCTTTGGGATCTGAAACCTCCAAGTGTTGAATTACAAGCAGTCCACAGAAACTGAAAGAAGGGTTGGTGAGCAGCAGCTGGAACGTGACTGTGGTCCTCCTTCTATAGCAGCTGTGGTCCTTGGAAAAGTTTTCTGGTGGTAGGCAGAAATCTGCCTTCCTGAAATTTCCACCATGTGGTTCCAGCATGTTGGCTACCAACAGACATCTGAAAGCAGAGATTTGCTCTTTATTCCTTGAATATCACTTTCTAGAGCCCCGTTCCTTCTCTGCTCACCCTGCTCCTTCAACTACTACTCACTTGTCAATATCCCAAGAACAGAACACAGCCAGAACTGGCCCTCCTGGGGCCCAGTGGGTCTACTGCTTTATGGAATCCAGACCCAGTACATCCTCTATGTCCCTTCTCTGCTTTCAGTTCTTATGTGGCTCCCTACTGTCCACAGGATGTGGACACTCCTTCCCTCCTAAGGCCCTCTGTGATCTGACCCAGCCTCTTTCATCACGCCAGTGACTTCTTTCCGTTCCCCAGTTCTGCTCTTCTTTCTACTAGGCTTTCACACATGCCGTTCCCTCCACCTGGGACATGTCCTTTCCGTCTCCTGCCTACAACACACCACCATCTCCTTCATCTGGTCCTCTCAAGCTTAGGTTATCAGTTCAGATGTCCCTCTGCAGCCTTTGCTGATTCCTCCCAGCTCCCTGAGCACCCTGGGCTCCCCCTGGCCATTGACATTTGCTTTCCTGTTTTTCAGGCCCATATATTGCTATCCTCAATGCCTAGCACAGGCCTGGCTATTGTTAGGCCCTCAAAAAGGAAGAGATCTGTGTAATTTTCATGTGGTTGCTGGCTTCCAAGATGGCCCCTAATGTTCCCCACTTCCTGGTCTTCATACCCTTGTATAATCCTCTCCCACAAGGAATAGGGCTAATCTGTATAAGCAATAAGATACTGCAGAAATGACAGTGTATGATTTTCAAGGCTTAGTCATAAAAGACATTGTAGCTTCTACCCTCTTTTTCCATATATCACTTGCTCTGGGGGAAGCCAGCTTCCATGTTGTGAGGATGCTCAAGCAGCCATATGGAGAGGGCCACCTGGGGAGGAACTGAGGCCTCTTGCCAACACTGACTTGCCAGGCATATGAGTGAGCCACCTTGTGGATCTTCCAGCCCCAATCACACCTTCACATGATTGCAGCCTGATTGACACTTGACTGCACCCTCAGGAGACCCTGAGTCAGAACTACTCAGCTCCCGAATTCCTGACCCACAGCATCTGTGATATAATAAACGTTTGGGGATAATTAATTCTACTGTAATAGATAATTAATCCATGTCCTTTTTTATGATAAAATTTTGAAAGCCTTTTGTAGAAAGTTTCAATTCCTTTTTTTTTTGGCCACACTGTGAGGTTTGCAGGATCCTAGTTCCCTGACCAGGGATTCAAACCCATGCCCCCTGCAGTGGATGTGCGGAGTCCTAACCAATGGAGCTCCAGGGAATTCCCTCAATTCCATTTTCGATGACTCTGCATTTATTTCTCAGTGGTCATACCACCCTTCATGGGAGACTCTGAGGTGTCAGCAGTCAGTAGCCAGGAACCCCTGGTGGCTCCTCCCAAGTGACCCCCAAACCAGCCAGCTGGCTGTGGCATTTCCCAGGGCTCCTTCCTTCCCAGGCAACTGGGTGTGGGGTAGAGTCAAGTTTCAAATCTGCTGAGCACCCCACCCACCCAAAATGAGAAATCAGAGAAGAGGCCAAGTCCATGGAAACTGTTCATATGACATACTTTATTTCCAATCTACAACCATTAAAAACGCTTTGTAAGTTTACACTGTACAGTTATTCTCATGTCTGAAATAAGACACGGGGGCAAGGAGAGCTGGCGGATTGGACCATGGTTGTCCTAGCACCCAATCCATCCTGGGAAAGAGCCTTCTGAAGACAGGAGTGGGGAGGAGAAACAGCGGACAGGAGAGGTGGACAGTTTGGCCCAAGGATGCCCTTAGTCCCTTCCCTCCCAAAGGCCTTTCCCTGGGGAACCCTTAGGGCCCACAGCTGCAGGGTCCACACCAGGAAACCAGGATGGTCAGGAAGGGGGCTTCACAGTATTGGTGGGGTTTGGGGAGGGGGGCCAGGAGGAGGAGGAGGGACAGCTTCTGGCTCTCTTCCCCAGCCGCTGGGGGTTGGAGCTGTTTTTTGGCCTTGTCTACAAGGTATCCCTAGAGGTGAGAGGTGAGAGGAGAAGGAGCTGGCTGGGGATTTAGGCGTCTTCCTTTGAGGAGTTGTTTCTTTCCATTTGAAGAGAGGCCATAAGCCTATGGTGAGGTTTCCAAGGGATAAACGGTCTCAGGGTCTTTTGTCTCCCGCCCCCCCACCCACCCCAGGACGCCCACCTGCTGCCCAGCTGGCACAACCCTACACAATCTCTTGTAAAACCCAGACAAGTAGGAGAAGTGGGTAGGACTGGAACCAAGCCGGGGCAGGGAAAGGAAAAACGAACGTATGCCTTCTGCCAGCCCTCCAGTTTCCAGGAAGAGGAGAACATAGTTTTGTTTTGCTTTGGGTAGGGGCAGGGAGGGTTCGCAGTCTCTCAGGAGTCCAGATGAGGTTGGTGTTTCCTGTTCCTGGTCAGGGCCAGCCTCAGTCCCTCACCAGGCCACACTATTTGCTGGTCTAGATCAGCAGGTGGCAAACTCCTGTGTATATCAGAATCACCTGGAGGGCTTGTTAAACCCCAGCTTGCTGGCCACCCCCGCCCCCACCCAAGGTTCTGTTCCATAGGTCTTGAGTGGGCCCAATACTTTGCATGTCTATCAAGTGCCCAGGTGTTGCTCCCGCTTCTTTGAGAACCTCCAGGCAACATCCTCAGCAACCTGGTGCCCCAAGACAGTGCCCGGGAGCTGGGCCACAGCTGGCAAGGCCCTGCCTTAGAGGCACCAAGATATCTGGGAAGCTGCTGGGCACAGACTTGTGGTGAGCCCCCCGTGCGGAGAAGTAAACTAAGGCACAGAGATCAGCGGCGGAGCTGAGAGAGGAGCCAGGATACCAGGGCCCAGTGGAGAGGATGGTGATGCAGGACTCCAAAACATGAGGGGTGCTCTGGGGCCCTAAGGACCATCCTCGTGCTTATCATAAAATCATACAACCAGCCAAACACAGAGAAGTTAAGACATCTCCTGGGCCAGGTCTCCAGACTCCTGGCTGAGGTTCTTTTTCATGGGAGCAGGTTGAGTGGTATCAGAATGGAGAGTGACAAGGTGGCCAGGCCCTGACGACTTCGGCCCTTCAAGGATGCTTAGGGGAAACCAAAGCTCCTTTCCTTAGACCCTGGGGTCCAGGGGGCCGGTGAAGGGCAGGAAGGGAGTGGAGTAGGGCTGATGGGATACACAAGGTAGGGTCCAAGAAGAGTGCAGGAGGGGCGGGGAAGAGCCCTGGGCAGGCGACTCAGGCCCAGCATCATGTCACCAGTCCCCTTCCGTTCTTGGGTCTGTGGACTTTGCAAACCGCAAACACTGTTGGGAGGGGTAAGGGGTAGTGCCAGGGTGGGCTACAGGTTCTGCCAGGGTGGGCTACAGGTTCTGCCAAGGGCAAGCTGTTCCAGAGGCCGTGAGGCCCAGGGGAGAGTGGAGAGTATGGGGGATGTCAAATGGACAGACAGATGGACGGATGGCCAGGGAGAGAAGAACCCAAGCTAGGCTGTACCTACTTTCCAAACAAGGCCATGTGGGACTGGGCAGGACAGAGGAAGCCAAAATGGGGGATCCAAGTTCCCCCCAATTCCCAGTGGAGAGTGTTGGGGTCTTGCCGGGCGGCTGTGGACAGAAGAAAATGGGGCTCAAGGGTGGGATGGGGGGATGTCTTTCTGGGCTTGGGGGTGGTGGTCACTGAGGCCAAGCCCAGCCTGAGGCATTGGGGAAAGGTTCCCCCTTTGGTGTGAGTAAACACAAAATAAAACAGAACCCAGGGAATACAACCAGATCTGAAAGCAAACCTCCGGAGTTGGGAGACCACAGACATGGGAGGATGGGAATGTGAGGCTGAGGGCACAGGGAGGGGGGTGCTGAGGTTACAGGGAAATCCACGGGAGACGAGTGGAGCCAGGGAGGCCGTTCTGGGAGGGCTGAGGCATG